CAAAAAGCTTCGGACAGCATCATTCTTGTGACATGCCCTGCATCCTTTTCCCCCCTTGTTCTCTCCCTTGTGTGGCTCTAACAAGCCACAGCAGTTGCTTGTTTAATGTTTCCTCTCATTACAGCCCTCGTGTGGATCACTGCAGGTGCCTCTCGTCTGCTCCCTCGTCAGTGATGTATATAGTGCCTCCCTGTCTCAAGCTCCCCAGTCCAGTCATTGCTGTTGCTGCCTGCATGTGCTCCCCAGTGTGTCCCATGTCCATGATCCTCCCCACCCTGATTGTTGTTTCATTTGATAAAGCCCCTTTTGATTTTCCTCACGCCTGCCTCCACTTTCATCCTATACCTGCAACGTGACATCTTATACAAATACTGTTAATTAAATAATTTGCTTATGGTAATCAAGTAGTCCACTTACATTGTTCATTTTGGGTATTTTTAAACATGAGAACATATGGAAATAATTAAAATTGCTTTTTTTTTTTTCTTTTACTTTTCTTTGATTGTCCTACTTTGCCTTGCAGGAACCCATCTGCTCCTGGCTAGTTACCTGAGGCTAATTCTGTGTGCATAGAAAGCACAGAAAGAAAAAGTCATTTTCTCTCAAAGACAAATATAGACTCACCAAAGCTTATGAAAAACCATCAAAAACAAACCCATGAGATGCAGTAGTGAAACTACAATAAGTGCTTTGATACAATGTAACGTTGTGAAAATGTGCTGTATGTATAAAATTGAATTGAATATTATGTGCAGTACTGTACTGTATTATAACGTATTTGAATTATACACAGTTCAGTAATAAGATTTATACAGTACTGTAATTTGAAAAGCATTTGAATCAGCTGTACTTTGTATTTTGAAATCATCGATAAAATCAAATAGTGACACTGTCCATTTTATTACCTTATATTCATGTAATAACTATACAAATGTGAATTAGATGGTAATCTGCCTGAAAAAGGAAGAAAAATAAAAAAATTGGTTATAATGATCATCCGCTTACAGTGATCAATTTCACCCAGACAGACGTGATCAGTATAAGCGGATTGTACTGTAAATAGAAGAGGTGCTTTATTCATTATGGTTGGGAAAGTGGGCAGTTTTCACACATCCCCGCTTGCTCTCCATGAGAGATGAAGACTCGTGTATAGAGAGGTCAGTAGAGCCTCAAGCTACCATCATTCTTCACACAATGTGCTGCAGGGCTACAGAGCCACTACTACAGCTGCCGTAGGAAAGTCTGCAAGGTCGAGCTGCCTATTGTGACTAATGGAGATGCGAATGAACGTTCAAGACGCTACAAAGGTCTCCCCTGTCACCTCTGCTGATGAGCACTGATACACTTCTGTGAGTGCAGGCCTGTGAAGACCTTCATCTGTCCCAAAGCAGCGGATCTCTCGCTACCGCTGTCACAGCACCTGAAAGGGCTCATGAAGCACTGAGGGACTTATTGAGTCTCCATATACTTGTGTAAATTTACACTGCAGCAAACCAATATCTCACAGCATTTACAGTCTCTGTAGCCCACGGCCCCATCGAGGCCCTGTTTGCTCTGACACACTTTGCCTTGCCTACTGATGAGACGTGTGGCATTTGATCTAAACGCTGAGGGCTGACTCTAAGGCTCCGGACGGATCCCAGCGTGGAACGAACCCTGGAAAGCAGAGCGCCAAACCTCCACCTTTGCATAAATGAGACTCAATGCCTTGACAGGCATCTCAGAACACTGCTCACGCTCCACTCACCCTTCCTAAAATGACGCCACCCAGTAGTTTCCAAGAACGCAGCCAGTTTCTGCAGCTGAAATGGCAGCTGTCCATGAGCTGTAGAATGCAGTGCAGCTCATCCACAGACCTTGAAATGTAATTGGCTTTGGGAAGAAATCATTGATAGATTAAGCATGCAGATTATGCTCAAATTTAGAGTGGGATTCAGTCAAGAAAGCTGCTTTTCACTCGTAAAGTCTGCTGCTCATTCCTTTAACTGATACATCTGAGAATAAATCAAGTATTCAAGTACTTAAGCATTCAGCATTAGAGGTTACCAAGGTCACTGAAATGTAATTTCCATTGTACTGAGCTTCTGAAGTTGTAACGATTGAAATTGTTCAAGGATCTGAATTAGCAATGGATCTTCTCAAACAGAAGTAAGAGACGCTCCAGCTGCAAGCAGCACGATCTGTATTGTGGAGAACTTCACTCGTCCTCTTAGAGCATTTGATTGAAGATCGTGAGAAACGCCCACATTGCACAGCTCCTCCTGTAATTGTGGACGACGTGTGCATGGCTCCCTAGATCATTGTGGATCACAGATATTTACCCGAGGAAAGCCTCACTCTCCCTGTGAAGGCAGCTTCTCTGTCGACCTTCACCATTTCACTGGAGTGTTTGTGATGATGCGGATGGTTGGTTTTATTTTCCGTAAAAAGGCCAGCTTTTCTTTGGTGCCACAATAAGCAAATACCATCAGCTGAACCTGTTTCAAACATGATGCTGCATTTTTAACAGATAAACAGATTAAATTTAGTTGTATTTTAATATTTTAGCATGAATAAATACAAAACAAAAACATTAGCAAAGCTGATATAATTGATTCAGCTAATAAATGTCACAAGACAGTTAATTAGATAAGATAGCTAATAGGAACAGGAAAAGGCAAAGTCGATAACGGGAAAATTAAACTAATTTAGTAATTTCTTGGTTGATCAGCTCAATGATCAGTGACTGGTCTCCAAACAGAGCCCCAGTGGCTTATCTCAGACATATCCCTCTCATGCATCTCTCATCCAATCAATCAATAACTGTTTAGAGGACATTTCTGGAAAAATCCTGTACAGGAGGTTCAACTGTGCTGCCATAAAGGCTCCACTCAATGCCAATGTGATTCAGGGACGCAGCCAGATCTTTTACAAGTAATTTTCCTGGGGTGGTAATTGGGTATATACTAATGACGACAAAAAAAAAACAAAACACAATCACTTATTGTCATGTAACAATAACAATAGGGAGGTGGCCAAGCTTCCCCCGCCTCCCCCAGCCACCTTTACCGCGGCGCATAATGGGTTTGCTGATGTGAGCCCCAGAATCCTGACTCTCACCCCAGGAAAGTGTGCTGTTTCTATGCTGGCACACTGGGTTTCCTCTGGCCGCAGACAAGACTCCTCAGCTGTGCGTTACAGGGCACAGTCAGCCTCCGAAACCTTCCCATCGCCAGAACCCCTCCCTGTGTTGGCAAATTCTGTTTATGTTTACGGTGCACGGATAATTAAGTTCGCCATATGAAAAATTATTAATTATTCAATGTAAACAAAGGGGGCAACAGATAACAGCAGCGTTAGCTGGTACTCCTGCAGACAACCCCGTCTCCTGAAGAGCGCCGTCATCGACGTCTGTGACCGAAGAGCGCAGCAGAAGCTCGTCTGCATGCGCCCGAGGTTGTAAGAGGGAACATCTGAGGCTTCCTTCAGGACACACATGAGAAGAGCCTTCAGAAGTGCGGTTTCTGCAATCTCTTATTCGGTATTATTTAGCAAAGAACATCAAATCGTAACATGAAGAGACGTCTACTCAATATTCAGTGTTGGGATAAAAAGGGATACTCAAATATGGAGCAATAGTCCAACTCAATGTACAACGTGGAGCAAATCATGTTTGACTCGAGGTGCAGGAGTGCTGAAATTCATTCTGAATTCATGAAGGAGCAACACAGTGAACCTTCCAAAAAGCCAGTTCCACAGTGGATCTAGGAAAGGGCGCGACCGCATTCATACCACGTCCTGATCCGGCCCAAACAGAGATGGTTTGCACCAGCAATGCAAAAACAGTAACTTCGCACTAAAGCACTATTATGCACACTTTGGAAGAGTCATCCATGATTCTGGGATTCCAGTCAGATCCCACCTCATCCTTCACACACTAATAGGTGATTTTCAGAACTCACTGCCATGGTACTTTCTAAGGCAATGAAAAGTAAAGTTATAAATTATCCCTTTATACTGCTTGTGGGCTTGTCAAACAGGCAGCTTTAAGCCAGTCTGATCAGCAGAGAAAAGCAAAGGATCATTCTGGAACATTCAGGGGCTGAAGTGAGGCCATTAAACTCCCTGCAAGATGCTGAAAGGGTCACATTGCAGTTCCTGTCTGGAAACAAGAAGCAAGATTAATTTCCTTGTCAAATCCTCCTGACTAAATTAAATTAGCCATCATACTGTTTCAATTTCTTCACAGGTTGAACCTTGTTTTTTTATTTGTGTTTAATTTTGCTTTGCTTTAGGACAAACCGGCGTATAGACACGATGTGAATGCATTGAGGCCATTAATCTGCAGAAGTGCTTAGCATGTGGCATGTTCAATAGGTGTACATAAGCCACCTAAAAGACCATTTGCTGCTCTCTGACTGATGAATCCGAATGAATGAATCTTCGAGAAACCACACCAGGTGGAATCATATTATTAAAATATTAATACATTTCCTGTACACTCATCTCAGATGTGCTTTGACAGTTTACAGTTCCACACATAATATGCAATTATGCCCATTACCCACAAGAGTACAAAGCTATTGTCCTGTGAACAGACTGTTTTATAAATGCTAGTATCACGTATTGTGGTTAATGTCTGCTTTTAAATCACCCAAGTCTAATTAGGGGTGTTCAGTTCAGCAGGATAGCTCTCCAAGGCCCTTGATGCCCAGCCGCAGGGACACGGCTAGTCCTGTGCTGTGACCCCAAGCTAGCTTTCACCTCTGTGTGTCTGTACGTCTCCGGGAGAGCAGGCGCAAGCAGAAAGACGACCATCCAAGGAGATGAATAAAGTATCACTAATTAATTACAGGGTTAAAAAAAATTAGGATGAGTTCAGAGTTTTGTCTGTCTGCATGAAAGCTTGTCACTGCGCTGACACACGCACGCCTGAAATGACAAAACGTATTAGACAGTGTCCTGGGGCAGGTTTAATGTGCGGCAAGCTTAAAGTCAGGGATGAAATCAGACGCACAGGCTGGGGAACAAAGTTGAACAAATTTAATCTCTTCTCGGAATGGCAGCATACAGGTGACGTTTTCAAGATGTTCCTCACTCTGCATTTAGATGGCCGCAGTTGTTCTTATTCGCACAAGAGGGACAAAAAGCATTTCTGGCCTGGCGAGGATTTAATCACTGACGCACGGTCCAATCGGAATGACAACAGGGCTGTCCACGCGACGGGTATTTAATGCCAATCTGAAGAGGAAGATGACGCATCAAGGAGCAAAATAGCTAAATGCCTTCGTTAGAACATTCTGCGGGATTAATTACAGAATTCTGGTCCCTTAAAAATTTGCTTCTTAAGTGTTTAAATTTTATCATCGGTATTTTTTTGCTTAGTATCAAGTCTGCAGTAAAACAAACAGAGGCAGAGGGCAAAAAGAGAGGACTAGAGGCCAAGTCAAAGCAGTTGGCCTCGTAAGTATGCTAACGATGCAGAACACGTACTGGAGCCCTTAACGAGTGGTCTTAATGGGGGGGGTGAAATTCAAATATAGGAGGAAAAAGCACATGTATTCAGGAATTACAACCAGATCACTGCTGGTCACATTTTAGGTCTCCAGACGTCCCCAGGTTTATGTATAAAAACGTCGTATGAAATATAAAATTCTCACCCTGCAGACAGAACGGTGCACTTGGGGGAGGGGGAGGGGGGGAGCAGATGCGTAAATATATTTGAACCCTGTAAGGATCTGGATGTACAAAATTATAAAAAAGAAAAAAGAACAGCACATTTTTCCATTACCAAACACTGCATTTTAGAAATTGACCATTATCATTACTTTTTTTTTCCCATCCAAATGTATCTCTGCAGAAGTGAAGAATAAACATCTAGGTTTTGGCTTAGAAGCCATTTTCCGCACCGGAGAGAACTTCTGCTACAATTTCCCAGCCTGATTCGCATTTGGTTCTGTTCTGATTTAGAAACCTTACGGTCCTCGATGTGTATTTTGGGGCTTGAGGCTCGTCCCTAGCAACAGAGAACTTGAAGCATGAGCAGAACCCTCCACCAGCCGTCTCCCAGGCGAGCCCCGCCGGCCGCTTAGGACATCACTCCGAACACGGGGTTGTGACGGCAGATACTGGGCCCCATCTCCTCGTAGTCCTTCTTGGTGTGGCACACCTGGTAAAACTCCGGCTGGCCAGGAGAGAAGGAGTCACCACCTTGATGCTACACTTATCTTTCTACAAATTTCTTCAATTAAGCCACTAAAGCAGGGCTATGCAATTCACAACCCTCAAGGGCCAAGCACTGCTGATTTTCCAGGGTTCCTTTACCTATGAGCCAGGAATGAAGCCTCCAGCCAATCAGAATCAGTAATTATTAAACTACCTAGGAGAACTGAAAACAGGCTGGATTTCAGAGTTGAATAGCCCTGCATTAAAGTAGAATAGAACTACAAGCTTAATTAAAAACATGCAGGTCATCAGAAGACTTTCACAAAACCAAAAGTCTTAAAGTTAGTTATTTTTACTGTCAAAATCAGACTGTGGGGACACAAACTCAGGGTGAAACTTACAGTAGAAGCCAACATGGATCCTCCAAACCACACAGCGTATCTCTGCATGTGGTGAGTGATGACTTGGACATCAATAGGCTTGGGCTGCAAACAAAAGCACAGGAGGACGCGGGCTTGAGCGAGATACAGCGCGGCTCCAACTGGAAGCCAGCTTCAGAGAGTCTAGCGCCACCATCAGGCCGGACAGCACCCTACCTTCAGCTTTCCGCCACTGAGCTCCTCGCTCATCTTCAGCCGGGCGTCCACTGTCCTCTTCAGGTCCCTCTGCAGACGGCGGCCGAAGTCCCTGAACATGGTGGAGCCTCCAGAGAGGACGACGTTCTGCGAGACACGGCGACAGCGAGCTCAGCTACGAGCACACCACTTCAGAAGAAGACCTTCCAAATCGGCACCCGCGTTCCCGCCAGCTATCTCTGGACGCGCGGCGATTTACCTTGTACAGAGGGCGCCTGACATCAATGGGGCAGTTCTGGATCACCTCATCAACGACCTCCGATATGGGCTGAGTGAAGTCAGGGTTGGCAAACTGCAAGAAATTCACGGAGAGGCTGGATGAAACCCAAGGATTCACCCGTCGGGGTTCCCTTTTATCATCTATAGGCATGCTGGGCCCAGCGTCAAACTCTACACTTCCAAGGACTGCGCCAGTATCCCCGAAAACAACACAGACATCTTCCCACATAAGCATGACTGTCCAACGCCCATCCGGCGCAGCTGAATACCTCTGGATGGAAGAAGATCTCTGGCCCCAGGAAACGCTCATAGCCCACGTCGATGGTGAACTCCTTCTTGCTGATGGCGTTGATCCCCGTGTACTGCTTGATCCACTTGGATCCGTCCGTGTCATACTTGTTGAATTCTTTCACTAAATCTGGGCAGACGTAGCTGAAGCGCTCCTGGGATTAAAAGCAAAACCAAGAGACTTACCATCAGCAATAGTTTACGATTCCTCGTGTTACGTTCTGCGATGCGTACGCCATGGGACCGGCACGGCGAGCACGACATGAAATCTAAACGGCATCTTAAAGTGACTAGAGAGTTCGCCATGACAAATTAGTTTAAGATACTCAACATTAAATTGTTTGTTGTTATGCATTTCTGTTCAACTTTGTTGCTATGCAAAATAACTTGCCTGTCATACGTATGGCTGCTAAACAGAATTGCACAACCCAGAACTCAACAGTAACTGACGCTGCAACACTGACCTCTGCTGGTCAGTCGAAGAAATACAAGAAAAAGAAAACAAATCATACTTTTTCTCCCCAGACGCTTCATGACTTTCCCTTTATAAAAGGGTCATTGCCATCAGTTGAAAATCACACCACGTGGATTTCTAAATTTGTGTCAATCCCAACACCCAGTCCCATATGAGATTTATTTAAACTGATGATGCGAATTACAACAGCTGCATACTCAGTGGGATTAGACCTCATAAACCCCCTAAACCGTGCCGTTGGCAGGATTCGATCGTATAAACCCCCTGACCGTGTCAAACCTAAATTTCAACCAAGCCCGGGGCTTCCCTGTTAGAATATCGCCCCATCAAAGGCCATACATTCTGGCCTAACAGCTTTTTCTCTGAGGCACCGAGGCAGAACAGGGCCAATCCAGCAAGTAACCATGGTAATTCAGCCTTAGTACACCACCTCCTACCAGCTTCGCGAAGCTGAATAACCAAGGGAAGCATCCTATAAGATGGGCAGCTGAATGAATCGCACAACAAAGCCCAACACCACCAAAGGCTTCAGTGTTACGGATTCAAAAAGCCGGAGAAATGAGCCTCGTCTGAAGATGCTTCCAGATACCTGCTTCCCCAGCAGCAGAACGGTTCCTCAGCACCCCCATGCATCTCCTCAGACATCTTGCCTGCGGTTCATGTGAAGCGAGTCTTGACCTCGTCCTCGCTGCACGCGGCAACACAAGGCGGTCCCGCGTGCTCAGGACGCGCCTCGCCTCAGCAAAGCTGGGCACGTTCCTCACTCCGGAGCCTTTCTGTTGATCTGCACTGGCCAAACCCAGCCCCCCCCCCCCCCCCCCCGCACGGGTGGGAGGACCAGCTCTATAGCAGTATCAAGGCCTGGACAGCAGCATCTCCAGTTACATTTACAAACTCTGAATACGCCGCTTTTAATAGGTTTTTAACGTCAAATCATTTACGATTAGAAAACCGCTTTCCTTATTAATAGTATATTACGAGAGCCAGAGCTGACCTTGTGGTACTAAGAGAATAAAAAGTGCTCTATGTCTACAATCACCATCTGAGATTTTACAAGCATAATTTGCTGCCCCTTTAATAAAAAACACATTAATGAGCCGATTATGAAAATACACCATGTTAAAGGAGACAAAAGCGGCTGATTTATCCTGAATAGCGTGTGTCTGAAAGCTGAAGACAGCTTGGCCTTTAGTCCCCCGTGATCAGCGTGAAGGACCTCGCTCCAGAAGACCCGACTGGGCCGACTTTGAGAGTTAAACGTTAAATGGGCGTGAAGTCGGGTGGGTCTGAAACATCTCGCTGGACGAATGTGGACGGCAGGAAGAGGAGAGAGGCAACACACACAGCACTGTGCACGCAGCACTGTGCAAAAGCCTTAGACAGTCAGGAGAAATGTAAAGCCTTTTATCTGGGTAGTAAGTGCACAATCATCCAGAACAAAAAACAAATGAATTAGAACATGTGCAAATTAAGAGTAACACAAAAAATTGAAAGAATCTCTTCTGCTCTCCCCAAAAGTTACTGATATCTAGTTGGATGGCTAGATGAACGCGGCTTCAGTTCCCAAACCTCTCCTCAGGGGCACCTCAGCCATTCCATGCATTTGTTAAATTTAACCACCAGCTCACTTAACTTAAATTAGATTAAAAAAAAAGCCAATGACACATTGATTAGCTGTACTTGGTGAGCTAGGGGTCGAGTGTAAAGATACATGGATGTACTAAATGGTTCCAGAAAATAATGGGGTGATTTTAGCAGAAGTTTTGAGAGGTTTTGACTGTGACACGCATAACAACATAGTTTTATACCAACATAAAGATCATTTTCTTTGGCTGCCTAAGACTTTTGCACAGTACTGTATATATTAATAATTCATAACCGTATTCACGTAGAACTGCCCTCCTGGTCACACAGTGGTGAACGACTCACCAAAACTGGTATTATGGTACAGATTCCACCCCACTGATACATGACTAATGATCCCACCACGCAGAGTCTTATCTGAAGAGGATACAAGTCAACTCTAACTCAAGGAGCGATTAGCAAGCCTGACTGGGGAATCTGGCCGCGGCACTGGGATTAACACCGGTGCCGTTCAGGTAGAAAACAGAATTCAGATCACCTGTTTCACATCTGACCCACACAGCATGTAACCCTGAACTGAACTAGGCCCCTATTACTCTACCAGGGGAACTGGAGCAATAGCACCCCCTTGTGGTGCATCGATGCTACACCCGCAAAAGATTACACACATGAAGAATATGACTAAGCACTAAGCCCAACTCTGAACAGGTATTATGGCTGCAGACAGGTACAGATACCACAGGCAGATAGGATTCCACCTTACCTTGACAGCTTTTGCGGTCTCCAGCGACTGCTCCGGGGGAATCCCCACCTCCCGCTCCCTCAGGAGCTGCTGGGTGAAGTAGGTGATGTCACGGCCCGCGATGGGAATGTGCTTTATACAGCTGCCGATCACATAGCCCTCCGCCTGGATGGATGGAAGAAACACACGCAAGTACAGGTTAGCGACTGCTGTCGGGGGAGGGGCATGGTATTCTGGGGGGGGGGGGGGACATTGCTACCCACCACAGGGATGACGTGGGTGACACCGTCACCGCTATCTATGACCGTCCCAGTCAGCGTGCGCTCCCCCACCTGCCTGGAGGTCCAGGAGGCTGCCAGGGCGAGGACCGCCTGGAAAGGAAACAGCATCGTCGCTAACCATGATTGGCTGTTTAAGCTGTCAATCAAGTAGCAGAGTGCCTGAACATGAAGCAGGCCAGAGAGCCTAACCATGATTGGCTGTTTAAGCTGTCAGTTAAAGAGGCCAGAGCATCTGGCTGTGAAGAATCACAGTCACCTCAATCACGTTCCCGCACATTTACAGCCTCACACTGAGGGCAGTACAGAGTACCACAAAGATGTCTAACACACACATTTCTAATTATGGCTTTAAATATGGCTGCCAGATCACCCAGCGCGGCTCACTGACAGGCAGACACGCACCTGCACTGCGATGTACAGACCCGGCACGTTGAAAGACTCGAACATGATCTCGGCTGTGTACTCCCGGTTTTCAGGGGTGTTCAGGGGGGGCTCGGTCTGCAGGGGAGGGCAGGAACAGAGGGTTATCCCGGGTCAGGCTAAGGGAGGAGACCTCGGTATTCAGACCTGCTCACACGCACACAGCGGCTCACACAGCAGGAAAAGGAGCAAGCTGGGTGGGGCAATGCAGACTGGGCCCACTAGGGGGAGCCCATGACACTAAGCAGACTAAGCAGAAGTACTACAAATATAAAAGTTAAGTGCATGAATAAATGTAAATGGAATATGTGGCCTCATTAGTAATATTTCATAATAATTAACTGAGCAAAGAAATTATGCCTTCTCTGGTGTCTGCTACAGTTTTGGATACTTTTGTTTAAAGCTGCACTAAATCACATTAGTATGTAAAACCCAATCGCAATGAAAGAGCCTAATTTAAATGAGCAAGCAGCTTTTATTACGGATACAGAACATCCAAATGCGTTTGCTGAACTGCCACCAGAGTCATCTGAAGTATTAAATATGATGCAAATTCGACTTGCGTTAGACAGAATCCTTACACTTCAGTTTAAATGTAAACACTGTGTCCCCTGATTGCAATCTAACACAAAGACCAAACCCCCTACCCCACCCTCCCGGCCTGCCCCTCCATACCAACAGGAAGTAGTGGTCCTCCGGTTCAGCGCGTAGGTACTTGAAGATGACCTGCTCCATGAACCTTTCCATTAGGTCCCAGTCCTCCACGATGCCATGGCGGATGGGCCACTGTGGACAAACACTCGGTTATCAGGAACGGCTCCCCCAGAAACTTGTTTTAAAAAGCACTATTAAGCACGACGACTCATTAGAAAGGCCTGTCGTTGGGAGACTATCAGGGGAGATCAGCAGAAACACCTCTAAGGTGGAACAGCACAGAAAGTCTGCTCGGTCCCCCACTCTCACACTGGGCCCTTGACCACACTAGCCCCCTCTAGGGGCGGGGGCAGTACCTTCGTTGCATAAGTGGGCTTGTCGATGGCCTCATCCCCGATGAAAAAATCCAGGTCGTCCACCCCCTTCATCATCCTCCTCTGGGCCTGGTCCCCCACCTTGGCCGTCTCTCTGATAGCGATGCCTGCAAATCAGAAACAGGCTGGTCACTCAGCCCATCCCTCGACATGGTCATCCTGCAGGCCAACGTGCAGATATCTATCTGTCGAGACGCGACAGCTCAGCAACAGCCCGAAGAGTGCAAACCGTTTCATTTATTTCTATTCAAAAGCTCGATGCCTTTGTTCATCTGCGGAGTCATTATTCATACGGAGCAGAAACAGTGCCCAGTCATGATCGTTTAGCCTCCTTCACTAAAGCAGCCTTTACTGTAACAGGAGATTAAACATTAAAACAGGCTCCTCTCTGTCTCTCGATATTCCGTCCCCGGGTAAACTGGGACTGAAGCACGCAAAAATATTAATTTATCCATGTTTGTTCTGGGTTCCAAAAGAATGCTTTTATTATGGGAGGCAGGCAGGAAGTGACAGCAGGACAGAGGGAGAAATGGGGGGGGGGGGGGGGGGGGGGTCTTCA